CATTAAGAATGCTGTCTTAGCACGGCTGTCTTAGCTTCTGGTTGTAGAGCCGTGCATTGCTTTTGTAAATTCAATACAAGTATGATAGCACATGCCGGCAACCCCAGTACTCAGGAAGCTGAGGCAGGAGGATTAACGTGAGTCGAGGCCATCCTGAACTGGGTAGAGAGGCCCTCTCTCAAAACAAACAAAAAAAAAAGTAACCAAAGCTGAAGACATTAAAAATCCAGTTCTTAGTTGTCCAAGCACATTCCAGCTGCTCGCAGTGATTCGAGGCTAGTGTATTGGGCTGGGCTAGCCTGCCCTGGACTGTAGATACAAGCCGGCACAGTGGCTGGCGCACGCCTGCTATGGGAAGTTTTTCTCCTAGACCTCCACATCTAAGCACTTTAGCTTGGCCCCGAACTCACGATTATCTTGCCTCAGTCTCCTAAGTGCTAGGATTACAGTGTGGGCTGCCGCCTGGCTCTAAGAGACAAGGTTTTAAAAATGGGAATATGAGGCCATTAAGATGCCTGAAAAGAACTAAATGTTTTCATACCATCTAACATCCAGCCAAGAGGCTTAAAAATATCTTTTTACGGTTGGGCAGGGTGGCTTATGCTTATAATCCCACTTACAAGTACTGGGTAAACTGAGGCAGGAGGAGGCTCACTGGGAGTTTGAAGACAACACAGGCTTCACAGAGAGTTCCACAGAGCCTGTCTCAAGAAACCATAAAAGGGGGAAGGATTAAGGAGTTGGCTCAGTGAGTAAGAGAACTGAGTGTGAATGCAAGAGCACCTGAGTTCAAATCCCCAGCACTCGGGATAAGGTTGGACATGGCCATGTGCTCCTGTAACTCTGGTGTCTGGGCGGAGATGATGTGGACCCCAGGATCTCACTGCCAGGCCAGTCTAGAAACTGTGAGCTTGAGACCCTGTGCCAGGAGTGAGGTGTGGGGCTGGAGAGGCCGCGTGGGGGCTGGGAGCGCCGGTGTGCTCGTGCGGAGGACCCAGTTAGTTTCCCAGCATGCACAGGGTGGCTCACAACCACTGTGGCTCCAGTTCCGGGGGATGAAACACCTTCTGGCCTCTGCGGGCACCAGGCATGTGCATGGTGCAGAGACATGTGCTGGCAAGCGCGCGCACACATGCACACACACACATACACACACACGCACGCACGCGCGCGGACACACACACCAGCCACAGGCGCTCTGGGGTGCGGTTCAGTGGAGGACTGCTCAGCAGGAAGCCGCAGACGGACCCCAGGCATCGTGTAAGGGGTGCGTGCGCACCTGCCGAGCCATTGCCGGGGAGGGGGAGGCATGACATTCAGGGACCCTGGGTCACGCTTGGCTCCATGAAGCCTAATCTGACCCACGCACAGCCTTAGAACACGAAGCCTTACCGAAACAGTATTTTATGGGGAATCATCGTTACAGCTTCGTCCTGTTTCTCTCCCCATCTCAGGAACCTCAGCGGAATGATGAGAAGGGCCCGAAATGCTGCCAAGCCAGGTCCTTTTCTGATGGCGGCTGGGGCTTGGGCGGGGTTGGGAAAGTAAAGAAAGGATAATCGGCTTCTGTGTCGGCCTCTGGCACTGCCGTCGCCACACCACGCCCGAGGTCTGTGGCAGTCACCTGCTGCTGTGCTCTCAGCATCTCCCCGCCTGGGCTGAGGCACACTGGGAGGAAGGATGAGGAAGGACCCTTCAAGACCCAGATGCCAGCCCCAGGCTGGGTCCCCAGGCTGCGCTCCTGCCCGGAGGAGGGGAGACACTACCACCTAGGATCTCGTGGGAGGGTTGGGTTGAGCACACTGTGTGTGCTCTGGGAGGATCAGCAGGACCCAGCCCTCTCCTTGCTGTCCCTCTGTGAAACTATGAGCCAAAATGAACCCCCCCCCCCCCGTGTACGCTGTTTGTCTCAAACAGTTCATGAGAGCGATAGCGATGGGAATATGACCAGCACAGTCTACTTGGGATACCAGGCTAGACCAGTTGTTCCTGGTAGCTCAGCCTCGACTCCTCATGCTGTCAAAGTCATGTCACCTTTGTCATGTCTTGATTTCCAGCAGCCTAACTCAAGACGCGCTTTGAAAACTTCTGATGGCACAGTTAAAAGTTGAAGTGGCCCTCCGTCCCAGTACTCTCAGGCAGAGGCAGGCAGATCCCAGAGTTTCAGGACAGCCAGAGCCACACAGTGAGACCCTGTCTCAACAAAACAAACAGTTGACACGGAAAGATAGAATGTGACTGATCTCAAACCTTTCTTTAAAAGACATTTTTTAAATTTAAAAAAAAAAATTCAACTTTTGAATGATTTGATAGTTGTTATTTTATGTGTATGCATGTGACAATCCGAGGACAATTTGGTGAAGTCACTCCTCTTCCACTCTTTTATTTTGGGACAGGGTCTCTAGGTAACCCTGACTATCCTGGCTTTTGTCATATAGATCAGGCTGGCTTTGAACTCAAAGATTCAACCCGCTCTGCTCCTAATTGCTGGGATTAAAGGGACATGCTGCTAGGCTCGGCTCTCTTTCCACCTTTACAGAGGTCCTGGGGAATCAAACTCCCTTCCAGAGGACCCAGGTTCATTTTCCAGCATGTACACAGTGGCTACACCATCTTTGGGCCTCATGTGGGCAAAACACCCACACACATGAGGTGAATTAATTTTTAAAAATTAGGTTGATATAAAACTATTCTTCTGAAAAACTGAGTCTGGTGTCACATGCATTTGATTCCAGCAGGATCTTTGTGAGTTAGAGGCCAGCCTGATCTACATAGTTCCAGGCTAGCCAGGGCTACATATATAGTGATGTCCTCTCTAAAGGGTACCGTTTGTCTGTGGATGGCGCGGCGCAGTGGATAAAAGTGTTTTGGCCAAGCTGGGTGGCCGGTATCCACGTGGCACCAAGAGAGAACCAGCTGCTAAAAACTGTTCTCTGACTCCCACATCGCGGTGTGGCAAAGGTGCCCCCCCTTAAAAAATGCTTTCTTTAAAAAAAGGGCACAGTATGTCTGAGCACCAGAAATATAATCAAGAGCATCCGAGTTACAAAGGAAACCTCATTCCCAGCAGTCATAAGGAAATCCCGAAATATTCTCAGCAAAAGTAGTGCAAGACCTTTAAGAGTTTTGAAATGCAAAGACTGTGAAGCAAATTGAGACTGGGAAAGACTTAGATATGGCACGGATGCTAACTCTCACTTACATACAGGCTTCAGGCAGCCCAAATGTCACCTGTTTCTGTAAAAACTAGACACATCAGCCCTAGAGCTGCCTCATAGAAGACCGCGCTGGACGGTGGTGGTGCACACCTCCGAGCCCAGCATGCAGAAGGCAGAAGCAGGCAGATCTACGAGATCGAGGCCAGCCTGATCGAAAGAGCGGGCTCTAGGACAGCCAGGGCTACCGAGACTGTGTCTCAAACCCCCTGCCCCTAAAATGGAGGAGAAAGTCTCTGGAGACTGGTGCTCCTAGAACTTAAATGTCCCAAATGAAGAGCAAGGTCACCTTCCACCTTTATCATTCATAAGGCCAAGTGTTTGCTTTTGTTTGAGTCAGGGTCTCACAACGTAGTGTCAGGCTAGCCTCAAACTCAGCCATCCTGTCATAGCTTTCTGAGTGCTGGGACTATAGGCATCAACTACACTTGGCTATAATGTGGCAAGGCTGCTATGTCAGCCTGGAAACCATGAAGGAAGACCAAGCCTGCATGTACACTGGCAGGCAGAAGGATCAAATGCAGTCAACGGAGAAACCATCCATCTGGTACTGCCAAGGAGTGACTCGTTAAACCTTCACTGTGTGGGACTGGGCCATGGGTCAAGGTGATGCCTTTGGAAGGGCATCACCTGTCCTTCCAGCTTCACAAGGTTCCAGGAGTCACCCGTCTTCTTGGCAAGCTCTTTACCCGCTGAGCAATTTTGCTGGCTCTGTGCTAAACTGCCCAGGCTGGTCTCAAACTCTAGACCTTTTATTAAGGATCATACTATGTAGCCCTGGCTGTCCTGGAACTTGCCGCAGATTCAGAGACCTCTTTGCAGCTGTGTCCTGAGTGCAGAGATTAAAGACGTGTGCCACCACACCTGGCCTAAACTCTGGGCCTATTGTCTCAGGCTCCCAAGTGTCTTCATTACAGGTGTGTGCCATTGTACGAATCTAGGACTAACTCTTCGGTGACTTACATGTAGATCTGGCAAATAAAGGCCATGGACAGGAGGTCACAGGAAAAGAACACTAAATGGCCCTTAAGCACTGAAAACAGTCCCCCCTTGTAGAGAAATGTAATTTCAATTAACAGCGCCAAGTGCGTGTTTACTGTTAGTTTTTCCCGAAGCCGAGTCTGAAGGATTGGGCTGGGTTGTGAAGAGGCAAAAGAGTTCCTGGGTGAATGGAAGTGGACTGAGGCCCAGAGAGGCTGGGAATACCTATGAAAACACCAACACTTCTGCCTTTAACTGCTTCCACTGATCCAGATAGCATTCCATTCATTCATCCATCTCTATGGAAACAGCAAACACACAAAAGCACAGAGCATTATAAAAGCAATGCCAGGGACGCACGCTCCTTGTCCCAGGGAGGTAGATCAGTAAGGAGTTCATGATCAGCCTCAGTGCCAGGAAACCCCATCTCAAAACCAAGAAGCCCAAACTAAACAACAAAAAACAAAAACAAACCAATCAACCAAAGCAAAACAAAACAACAACCCCATAAACACAACAAAGCTAGGCATGAGGCACAGGCAAGAGGATCTCTGTGAGTTCAAGACCAGCCTGGTCTACCCACATAGCGGGTTGTAGGCCAGGCAGGCTACACAGACAGGCCTTGTTTCCGATGACGTGGTAAAGTGGGCTCAGTTCCCAGAACCCCCCGGGGCTCACAGCTGCCTGTAACTAGTTCTGAGGACCCAACACCCTCTTCTGGCCTCCTCGGCCTCTTGCACACACGTATGCATGCAGGCTCACGCGCACACACAAACATTTAAAACATTTGCTAAAACCCAGATGTCCAGAAGACGACTCGTTCATTAAATGTTAAGATACAGCCTTAAATAGTAGTCATTAAAAAAATGTAGAATCACTTTCAATATAACTCAAAATATAAAAACCCAAGCTGTAGAGACCAGCTAGATTGTTGGTTGGCTTTTCCATTGCATGTGTGTGCGCACATGAGTGTGCTCCGGGAAGCGGCTGTGGACTCCTCTCTCACAACGTGGGGCTGGCCGTCAAATTCATTCATAGAGCTTAGCCACAAACACCTTTGGCCACGGAGCCATGCCCCTAGCCCGACCTTGAATCCAATGGACTGGGAATGTGGCTGTCCAGCAGGCAGTACTCCAGTATGTAAGGCTCTGGGTCCCTTCCTCAGCACCCAGGACTGGGGGTAACTAGACTGGTGTCAATTTGTAAATGCATTACAAAACGTAAACCCTACGGAACACCAACCAACCTCCCCACCCCAGCGCAAATCACTGCGGATACCTGTTTTCGATTTGGCGGAGAGAAAAGTTTAACTCCCCACAGCATCTTTTGCTGGCTTTGAGTCCTGTTGACACACCCATCATTTAAACATCAACTCAGATCTACTCCCACATGGATACGATTGCACAAGTCTTGAAAAATATTCATCTCACAACACATACATGACGTTTCCCTATCTGAATATTTACAACTACAGAACAGCAAACACAAGAATTAACGGCACACTGAGCTTGTCGGCCAGCCACGAGATGAGTCTCAGTGCTGAGCTGTCCACGTCGTCTCACGGCCTCCTCAAAACCCCGAAGCAGCGGTATCTGACAACTGCGTCTTCTGGGTTCCTCTCGCATCTCGGTCGACTTCTATTCCCCCCCATTGGCAATTCTTAGACTTCATCTTTGCAAAACCATTGTCCTTTACAGTGAAGCAGCCTTGAGTTTCCACAATTGCGGGGGGGAAATGATTGCTACCGGGCACAAGGTGGAAGTCGGAAGGGTCCACTTGGCCGGCCAGCTTCGAGCCCCGAGTGTCCGGCCCCTCCTGGGCCTGCATCATTTCACCCTGCCCGTCCGTGGCTGTACTCTGGATTTCCCACCTCAGGACATTTGCCCAGAATTCTGCCCTTGAGCCTAAGGGTCACCCGACTTCCTGGCCACCATTCTTTCTTTATTTTTATTTTACAAAGACAGAGTCTGCTGTGGCCCAGGCTGGCCTCCGGCCCCCTCCCTCCGGGGGCGGGGGGTCGGTCAGCGGTTTAGGGCCCCGCTCAGTGGGCGGTGGGGCCTCCGGCGTCGGAGGCGGTGAGCGCCAGCGTGAAGGCGCGCGCGTCCGAGTCCATCTGCGGGGGGTTGGCGTCGAAGGCCGCCTCCCGGGCCTTGCAGCCCTCCACGAAGAGCCGGCGGCGCTCCTCGATGTCGCGGAGCAGCCTGGCGGGGATCAGGGGGTTGGTGTGCAGGTAGTGCTGGAACATCCGCTGCTCGTGAAGCTCCAGGAGGCGGAGCGGCGCGTGCATGTGCGGCATCGCCATCAGGCCCGGCACGCCGGGGAGCCGCGGGGGCGCCGGGCCCGGGGCCCGCGCCGAGGGCCGAGCGGCTCCGGCCAGCGGGCCTGCCGGGGCCTCGGGGCCCCCGCTGCCTCCGCCCACCCGCGCCTGCAGGACGTCGCCGACGCCGTTCACGGGGCTCAGGTGGGGGACCCAGCTCTCTCCGGGCGGCTCGGACATCGCCGATCGTGGATCCCGTTAGGTCGCCGGAGAGCGCTCCCCGGAGAAGCGCTCGCAACCGGCTCCGGCGGCTGCGCGAAGCTGTGCGCACGCGCGGGCCCCGGCGCGCAGGGCACCGAGGGCGCGCGCGGGCCTCTGCCGCCCCCTAGCGGTGCGCGGGCCGCTCCCGCCGTGGCCGCGACCCGCTCGGAGCGCAGCGGCTGGGTCGCACGCTTTCTTGTTGGAGACAGCGTCTCCCTGTGCACCCTTGGCTGGCTGGAACTCACATACACTCAGAGGTCTGCCTGCTCCGGCCTCCGGAAAGCTGGAATTGCCGGTGGTGGCGCACGCCATTAATCTCAGCACTTGGAGGCAGAGGCAGGTGGATCTCTGTGACTTCAAGGCCAGCCTGGTCTACGGAGTGTGAGTTCCAGGACAAGCCAGGGCTACACAGAGAAACCCTGTCTCGAAAAGCAAACAAGTTCGAGGCCAACCCGCGCTATGTGAAAGCCTGTCTCACTAGAAAAGTGTGCAAGAGCCATCTGCCTCCAATGTCTGAAATGCAGCGGTCATTAAAGCAGCTTACATCTATCTACCTTCTTGTGCCTTCGATGAATCCAGAGCCCACAAGTTACCAATTGGCCGATGCTGTCCCCAACACACGTTGGAACCCCAGCTACTTAGGTGCCTGGGGCAAGAAAGCAAAGTTCAAGGATAGCTTGGGCTACAGAGTTCAAGGCTAGTCTGGGAAACTTCTAAGACCCTGTCTCAAAGTAAAAAGAATAAAAATAAAAGTAGGGTGAGGGGTCCAGGGAGAGGCTTCAGTAGGTAAAGGTGAAAGGAAACCAACTCCTACAAATTGCCTACTGACCCTATGCATACAATGGCAGGCGCACACCGGCACAGAGTGTAGCTCAGTGGTCATGCTCTGGACTCAATCGGCACTGGAGGCTGAGGCAGGAGGAACTCTGGGTTCAAGGCCACCCTGGTCCCGGCAGGGCTACAGATACTGAGATGTGTCACACACACAGAAGCTTGTTAGTAAACTCGAAAACATATAAAGATCATGCTGAATATTGTTCTCATGATATTCACATTGCATTGTGGTGAATCTGGTGTAATCTAGGAGCACTTTCATAGACTCTGAGTCTTGCTACAAAGCACAAATTGGGCTCTGATTTAGCACCGTCTTGTCTCTGCCTCCCTGTGCTGAGATTACAGGTGTCCACCATGGGTAAAGCTTGAAGAAGCCTTTGACAAGATTCAACCACCTTTTCAGAAAAACAGATGTTATCTCTCATTTGCATATGCTTGTGTCTCTGGAATGTGTGTGTACACAGGGTGAGTGAGCGTGGAGGCCAGAGGACTGGATCCCTGGAGCTGGAGTTACAGGTGGTGCTGGGGTCCAGACTCCGGTCGTCCCAGCTGAGCAGCACATGCTCCTGCCAGCCCAGCCAGCTCTCCAGCCCCACACAGGTCTGTGTGGGTGAGTGTTTTGTGGCATGCATGCTTGCCTGATGCTCGTGCAGGCCCGAATAGGGCGTCGGGCCCCCTAGAACTGGCGCTACAAACGTCTGTGGCTGTGGCGGGCCTCGCAGGTGCCGGGAACTGAACCTGGGTCCTCTGCAGAGGCCACCATGCTCTTAATTACTGAGCCATCCCTCCAGGGACTGTGAACAGATGCCTATGGGAAGAATTTTCACAAATCACGATCACTCCCCACATTATACCGAATGCAGCGACCAAGGAGCCGATAATGAGAAGCCAGGGGTGGGCTGGAGAGACGGCTCAGTGGTTAAGAGCACTGGCTGCTCTTTCAGAGGACCTGGGTTCAGTTCCCAGCACCCACATGGCAGCTCACAACTGTTACAGTGGATCTGACACCCTCACACAGACATGCAGGCAAAACATCCATGAACATAAAATAAGAATAAATACTAAAAAAGAGAGAAGTCAGAGGACATGTGTCAGGGCTGAGAGCACTAGTATGCTCTACTGTGCTCTCTGTTGCTGCTGTAAAACACTGATGGAAACTGGGAGAAGAAAGGGTTTCTTTCCGTTTGTAAAGGCCACAGCCCATCTCGGAGGGGCGTCAGGGCAGGGACTGAAGCAGAGGCCATGGTGAGACTGTCCACCGGCCTCCTCTTCTGGCTCATCCAACTACTTTCCGTGGCAGTGGCACTGCCCGCAGTGGGCTGGGCCTCGCTGCCTCAGCTAGCAAGGAAGAGAACGCCTGATAGACTAGCTCGAAGGCCAGTATGCTAAAGGTGGTTCCTCAGTTGAGGCCCCTCTCTCCAGGTAAGTCAGGGTGACAACAAACATTGGCCAATCACACTGTGCAACCAGAGGGCCTGACATCCGGATTTCAGCTTCCATGTAAGAGGCTGAGCAAGGCCACACGTGTCCACAGCCCAGTGCTGTGAGAGGCAGGCACAGGAGGCCACCAGCTCTAGGTCCAGTGGGAGACCATCTCAGGGTAAGTGATGGAGGTCACCTGACGTCCTCCAGGCTTCTGCACATACCTCACGAGTGTGTACAGCCCACACAGAAACATATGCTCGACATCACAGACAAGAATCATTTGAACCACCACAAAGAGTAACGTAATTGAGTGTACTGACAGGCTTTCTCAAAAATGAGCAGCAACTAACATTTTTGAAGTGATAAAGTTTTCAGAATATATAATAGGAATATCCTTAAAGAAGATAAAATCCTGGGTGGGAGAGATGCTCAGATGGCTCTACAGGACACAGGTTCGATTCCCAGCACCCACAAGGACAGCTCACAGCCATCCGTAACTCCAACTCCAAGGGATCAGGTGCCCCCTCTGGCCCTCTTGAGCTGCTGGCATGTAAGTGCACAGACACACATGCAGACAAAAAAGAAAATATCTAGGAATAACCCAGCATTGTGGCATATGCCTGCAGCCCCAGCAGAGGCAGGCAAATTTCTGTGAGTTCGAGGCCAGCCTGGTCTACAAAGCGAATCCAAGAGAGTCAGGGCTACACGGAGAAACCCTGTCTCTCTCTCTCTCTCTCTCTCATACACACACACACACACACACACACACACAAACACCACCTAGGAATAAATGACTAGACCTGTGAAAGACAATTTTAGGGAAATTCATTAAACAATATTAATTATACGTTGCCCTAATTTCCCCAGCCCTAATTTCCAGTTTTTGAGATGACCTCAAACTTCTGGTGATCCTTCTGCCTCATCCTCCCATGTTCTAGGCTTACAGGCATAAGCCACCACAACCTGGTTTAGGAAGTCTTCACAAAACATGAAAAGTGTGTGGGGTGGCACGCCCTTAATCCCAGCACTCAGGAGGCAGAGGCGGGCAGATCTCTGTGAGTTCCAGGACAGCCAGGACTACACAGAGAGACCCTGTCTCAGGGTGGGGGTGAAGTGAAGCTCAGTTGGATAGGAAGAGTTCTGTATTGTTATTTCTTAAAATTTTTATCTATCTGCCTATCTATCTTTTACTTTTGAGGCAGGGGTTCTCTTTGTAGCCCTGGCTATCCTGAAACCGGCTCTGAAGAGCAGGCCTGTCTCTCCTGGGATTGCAGGCGAAAGCACCACCAAAGCTACCCCGCTGGAAGAGTTCCCTGTGCCACAGGAGTGGCTGCTCACCTGTCATCTTGGCATGTGGAAGACAGTCATCCTTAGTTTCAGGGCAGCATGAGTTAAAAGTAAATGAACCGTGACAAAACACACCTCAAAAGAAAGATTCAGTGGCTGGAGGGATGGCTCAGAGGCTCAGGGCCCTTGTTGCTCTTGCAAAGGCCTGGGTTTAGTTTCTAGCACCCTCAGCAGCTGAAAACCCTTCATAACTCCAGTTCCAAAGGATCCAGTGCCCTCTTCTGGCTTTCAGAGGCACTGCACACACACAGCACACATACATAAAAGGAACAGCTCAGACACAGTAGAGCTAAATAAAACCTCAAGGGCTGGAGAGAGGACTCAGTGGTTAAGAGCACCGACTGCTCTTCGAGAGGACCCTGGGTTCAAGTCCCAGCACCCCCATGGCAGCTGACAACTGTCTGTAACTCCAACATCTGACACCCTCACACAGACATACATGGATGCACATAAAGTAAAAATAAAGGAAAAGACTGTATTTTAAAGATAGCAGTTATCCTGAGTACTATGTGATTCTACCTAAAACTCTTTGTCTGAAGACAGTAACAAGGCCAGGTGTGGTAGTTCACATCCATATTTCCAGCATTTGGAAGGCAGAGGCAGACAGATCTCTGAGTTTGAGGATAGTCTGATCTACAAAGACAGTTCCAGGATAGCCAGGGCTACACAGAGAGCCTGTTTCTCAACCCCTCTCCTCCCCCAAGTAAAATGAGCAGAAAAACCAGAAAGACTATGAGAAAACACTGAGTGGGCTCAGCATGGCTCTCCTTTGCTGTATGCACAGTGAGCTCTTACTCCACACTGCTAAATAAATCCCAGATGGTTCAAAATAAAAAATGAAATCTCTCTCTCAGACACCAACAAAACCTTGGGATTCAAAATCTTGTACAATTTTGGAAAAACAAAAACAAAAAAATCTAGGCAGGTGAGTTGACACAAGCCTGGTGACCTGAATTTGATGCCCTGAACCCACATCAAGGATGAAAAAAATCTATCAGAAAAGCCAGTTGAATAACTAGAAAAATATATTTGTCACTCATATCACAAACCAATGTCATACCTACTGCCACTAATACATAGGCAACTACTACAGTCATTAAAAACTTAAGGCGAGAAATGGTAAGTGTGGACCATCAGCAGGGCGGTGGTGGGGCACATCATTAACCCAGCACCCAGGAGGCAGAGGCAGGCAGATCTCATGAGTCCCAGGCCAGCCTGGACTACAGAGAAAGTTCCAGGACAGCCAGGGCTACACAGAGAAACCCTGTTTCAACACACACACACAGACACACACACACATACACACACACACACACACACACAGAATCTTGACAGTCATGAGAAAGGAAAGGAATTAGAATTTTGTGGTGCTGGGGGTCAGACCTAGAGGCTTGTACATTCTAGGCAGGGTCTCTACCACTGAGCCACATCTCCAGCCCATCACTGGGGAATTCTAGGCAGGCGCTCCACCAGTGAGCCACAGCCACAGGCCCTCACTGGGGGATTTAGTCAAGAGTGCTATCACTGACATATATTTTGAGCCCTCTTTTCATTCTTAAATAAAAAGATAACTTAAAATAAAAAACTTAAAACTGATACAGCTTGGGGCTGGAGAGAGGGCTCAGCAGTTAAGAGCACTGAGTGCTCTTCCGGAGGACTTGTACTCAATTCCCAGCTCCCACTGCAGCTCACAACTGTCTGTAACTCCTGCTGTAGGGAATCTGACACCCTCACACAGACATACATGCAGTGGAACACTAATGTACATAAAATAAAAATAAATAAAAAAAACCATATACCTTTTTTCCTACTGTCAGGCTGGTAAGCATCTGACAGTTGAGCATATTGGCTAAGCAGTCAGAAAATATCCATTTATCAACCACTGGTGGGAGCTTAAAGAGGCAAATTAGCTGTATCTACAAAGTTACAAAAGCAAGCCTTTGGCCAGGACTGTTACTTCTCGAAATCAGGGTTCAGATATTACCAAGAACAAAAAGCTAAGGAGCTAGTAAGATGCACCATCATTTTTTAAAAAAACAAAACAAAAAACCAAGCAGTAGGCATGTAACACCATCAAGCGTACGACTCATCCCAACTTGGGATGGTAGACATGAAAGACACGTTCCCCCCTCGGGCCAGGCGGTGCGCACAGCAGACAGCCTAGCAGAGGAAGACGGGAGAAAACGGTGGGAACTAGCCGACCCTCCCGGTCCATCACAGCGTAACCCCAGAATGCAGAGAAATGCAGCTCTCTAGGAGTAAGCACACTGCTCGGCCAGATTCCTCAAGGCGTTTTCTTAAGGAAGTCACACTCTGCAAACCAAAATATGTCAGCTTTGCAAAGAAATAAATATATATTGTGTATACATAATGAAACAAGGAAGGAGACGGCCGTCGGCGGCTGCCTTAGTGCCGGCACAAGTTGGGAGGCATCGGAGACTTTCAGTCCTTTATATTCTTGGGAATTGTGAACATATGAGTGTAACTAAAAAAAAAAAAAAAAAAAAGTCTGAAAACTGGAAAACAAATTCCGTTTGTTTCCATCTGGCATGTTTGAGAACACAATTTATCACACACTATGTACAATATTTATGCTGCTTGCCATTCGCAGTGACTCGGAAACACGAAATCAGTCTTACACTCGCGCTGGCTCCGGCATGAAGAGAAGGCATGTTCTGACAAGGTCAAGGTCTGGACATAAACTTCGTCCTAAAGTCAGTGTTCGCTCTTCACGCTGATCCTCCTTCAGGAAAACTCTCCTCAAGCCGGTTTTGCAAAGCCACCCTTTACGTACCGACGAAGCCACGCGGGTAGACGTCTTCCGCGACCCAGGAAACCCAAGCGTTACAGGAGCCTCAACGAGGTCGCCTCTCCCCCCGTCCAGGGCCGCTCTACTCTCGGGGCCCTTCTGGCGTCTGGACACCAGGCTGCAGGCCGGGGCTTGCCTCGGAGGGAGGCCCTGGCGCCCCGGGCCCCGGCGGCCCTCACTCTCGCTGGATGAACCTGTCGCACCCCAGTTCCTCTATCAGGGGGTTGATCACCTCCGACGCGGTCAGGGCTATGGTGAAGGTGAGGATGTCGAAATCCACCCTCTGCGGGTTGCGCAGGTACTCCACGTCGAAGGCCGCCTCCCGGGCGCGGCAGGCCTCCACGAAGCGCCGGCGGCGCTCCTCCAGCTCCTGGATGCGGCCCGGGGCGATCGGGTAGTTCTCCAGGTAGTGGCGCAGGAACTGCTGGTAGTTGATGCCCAGGACGCTGAGCGGGTGGCGGAGGCGCAGGTAGGGCAGCGCCGCCAGGCCGCCGGCGCGGGAGCGGGGCCTGCCCTCGGGGGCCTCCTCCTCCAGCGGCTCGCCCAGCAGCCGCGCCACCTCCGCCATGC